CTCACTGCTCAAGAAATAAGGGCTTTACAAAAAAAAGGTTTGATTGTCAAACGTGTAGTAAACCAAACATCAAAAGGTCGTATATTTAGTATGTATTCATTGGTGGTGGTGGGTAATTGTAATGGATTGGCAAGTTATGGTGAGGGTAAACATGAAGAAGCTGCAACTTCTGTAAGGAAAGCTACAAATCAAGCAATTAAAAACCTACAATATTTTCATCGATATAATGACAGAACCATTTATCATGAGATTCAATATAAATTTCATAGTACTAAATTAAAGTTAATGGTTAGACCTCCAGGTATATCTATTCATCTTTCTGTTCATCTATTTATTTATCCTATTTATTTATATTTATATAATAATATTTTTTATAGGATTTGGTATAAGGACAAATCATTACATACATGAAATATGCAAATGTGTTGGTATACATGACTTAGCGGCCAAAGTTTTGGGATCACGTAATGGAATGAATGTTGTAAAAGCTACTTTTCAAGCTCTTGAAACTCAAAAATTACCTGAAGATTTAGCAAAAACAAGAGGGAAAAAGGTTGTGGATCTTTATCGTGTAGAATGAATGAATGATTAATTAAAATGTAAATATATTAATAAAAAATGGATTATTTCAATATTTGAATATGGATATTTCCTAATAATAAAATAACAAATTAAAAATGAATATATATAAATTTATTTTAAGATTTGCTAATTGCGATTTTAATTCACATGCTCAATCTCCAAAACCACAGCTTTTATTTAATATAAGTCTTGGAATTTTTTATTATGTAAATCGAATTTATAATTATTAAATAGTATTATAATTGTTTTTGAAAACACTTCATTACTTGTCAGGGAGTGTATATACATATTATATCAAAAAAAGAATTAAAATTAACATAGTTCCAAACCAAATACTTATGTTGTAGTGGTTCCAGCGGCTATTTTTATGTTGTAGTGGTAGAGTCTGTAGAAATGGGAAATTGCATGAAATTTCAAAATTTCATTCACATGATGCGCATTTTTATGCATTGCATTTTTAAAAAAAATATATATATTAATATATAAATAAAAATAATATCTAAATATAAATTTCAATATTATCATCACTACCACTGTCTTCTTCTTCACCACTTTCTATTCTAATTGTTTCATCATCATCATTACTTTTATCATTTTCGCTTCCCACATTTCCATCACCGCCAATTGTAATTATCCATATTATCATTGTTGGTATTTTTTGGACATTTTAATTTACAATTAAAATAAATATATACAAATTTAAAACACATTCAGGTGTCAATAGTTTTATTTCTCTTTTTATCATTTATAAAAAAAAAAGTAAACCAATTCCTTTTAGAAGCAAAGCTGATGAAATAGGAACTGAAATTGTCAATTCTACCCAGTTTAACAAATGAGGCCAAAATTTTGATTTTATCATTTCTTATAAATATAATCAATAATGATAAAAATTAAAAAAATCATGTGTATGTCACATCTCCAATTATTAATTTAAAAACCGAAACTAAACCGAAATTGAACTGAAAATTTTCGAATTGGTTTTTTAAAAACTGAAACCAAACCAAACCAAAACCGAACCATTCGGAGCTTTACTCTTGGTGAGCATTATAATGTAAACCATCTCTAAATGATGACAAGCGCCACACAAGTCAGTCCTGGGACTCATAATTTGAATTTCTGGTGTCAATTGATGTCATAATTTTCTGAAAGCATCATATTTTAAAGATTTCAAACTACTATCTTCTTACAGACCAGCTAGAAAATCTCTGTGCACAGATTTATAACTCATTTCAGCTGGTAAAAATGTAACTGATTGAATTATTCTATTGTTACTTCTTCCTGGACTTGGTAATCCATGGACTTCTGCATAATTTTCCAGAAAAATCTTTATTACTTCTGCAACATCTTTGTCAATCACCATTTTAGTTTTCCATTGAGACATCCTTTTAATATTGCCATGGATTCTTGGCAGAAGACCATTGTTTATCAAATGATTTCTAATATTTTCAAAATAAGTCCTGCCAATTCCTAGCATATTGAGATAAGTTTCTTGACAAAGAAGTATATTGTGATCTCAGTGATAGAAAGTTCTTTTATTAGATCTGGTTTTCTTTTCAAGGCGTCTGCTAGTGCTTATTAATCCCCCATCCATGGTTTTAATCTGTGCCATTAAAAATATGTCTTGTTCTGATTTAGAGAGAGCTTGAAAGGATTCTCTTAATTCTGCAAATTGTTCTTTGGGAATTCTTGAAGAACAACCACAATTACATCCTTTTTCTAAAAAATCAATTGCTTTTTGATATTCATTAGAACCATTATATTTATTATTACTTTTCATATACACCTATCCCTATATATATAAATTTATGTTCACTTTGTAGGTTTTCATATATTTTAAAATTGAAATTGGTCCTGTGGTGACAAGCAAAGTAGGCAGAAAAGAATTAAATTTGAGTGGATCTGCAAATAAATATCAGAAGTATATATTCAATACAGCAATAATTGATATAAAAGTGAAAATAAAATTATTTATTATTACTAAAAATGGATAAGATAAATTATCTTGAAACCTGAGATTTTATTGATCAATTAAACAGATAAATATAAATAAATAAAAGATAATTATTGTTATTTCTAAAAATCTAATTGAAATGTACTAAAAAAAAAATAAACAAATGTTTGAATTTTTTTTTTTATCAAAAAAGAATTCTAAAATATATAAATATGATTAATTTTGGACTGAGATTGATATAACAAATGTAACAAAAAAAAATTTATATCAAAAAGCCTTAATTAAAAAAACCCCTTTAAAATTTTTTTTACACTTTTAAAACAAATATCATTACAAATAAAACTTTTTAATAAAAAAATGATTTCAGAATTATTGAAATTAATACCTCACATACAAATCCTTTCATCACAATAATTATTCAATACATTTGATGTTATCCTTGACATAACAAACAATTGCATCACCCGAGTAGTAAATAATACTAAGACCATGCAGAAACAAAACTTTTAATTGTATGACCACCCAGATCCCAAGGATAAATAAAAGGATCAAAAAAATTTATTTTTCCTTCCTACTATATATTTATTTAAAATGAATAATAAATCTGATATTGATCACAGGTGTCAGATTTAATAAAATTTTCCTATCACAAACATGCAATGCGGTGCTTTCACACGCCTCATAATTATGAATTTTTCTTCAAATACTAGGTTCCACACATGTTGGAAGGCTTTGGACAAAATTTCCCTTATCTTCCCTTTCAGACCAGGCTTGATTGTCACCATATGAGCATTGATCATTGATGAGGATCAGCATTTGTGTGATGATTACTTTGTGTTTTACCTCTCTCTAAAATAAAGTTTATGTCTGCAACTGATTCAAAAATTCTGCAACTCAGGAGGTTGCAACCTGGGTTGCTGCCTTGTCAGTGACATGCCTACTCACCAACAACCCTACCCCATTCGAAAAACAAATTCGGTTGGTCAAATAAAAATTAAAGAGATGCAGAAAATTTATGGAAATGATTAATTTATAACATACCAAACAAAATCTGAACCATTTTATTTTACAGCTTTCTCCTTGATGCCAGTGATCATGGTGACTATCACATTAGGAGTGGGCAGAATTAAACTGCCATCTTTATACTTGTGAGATACATGCTCTCATTGAGCTACACTCCTTTAACCTAGGGTAGGAGGTTATATGGGAAAACATTCCCATTTAAAAAAACAACAAATTCAGTTGGTCAACAAAAATTAAAGAGAAAAAGAGAATTTATGAAAATGATTATACAAAACAAACACTATTTTACAACTTTCCTCTTAACATCAGAGCCCAATGCAATTTCAGGGTCACCACAAGTTGCAGATTCTCTTTGCTTTGATGGATCTGGATATTCACATGGCACTACAATTCATCAGCAGAGTTGCGACTTGGTCATGGAGCCATCCTTGCCCTAGAGGTAGGATCGTTACAAGCAACTTTTTGTCTAGCATGCCAGCAGCCATCTCTGGTCTGGGAAGATTAGTGAAAGTGTCATTGACGATTGATGCAGTCTCGGTAAACTCCAGGGCTTTGCGTCCCTCCCCTGGAATTCAGTTGCATCATTGTATCATCGAGGGGTCGCAAGTCAGATTAGCCTTATGTACACAAGGAAGATGAGAATGACTGTAATGTGTTCAAGGTAACGTATGTGCTTCAACATCTATAAAATTTCCAATAATCAAACATTGCATATTTGAAATGTTTCTTTTTCAACAGCGTATTGCCTTGACATCTTCTTGTAGTTATATATTAATAATATTATTCTTACTACGATTACGCAAAGCAAAATATTAATCATTTATTATCATTTTGATAAGAATCTTATAATTGCCCAGCAAGATCTGCACCGCGTTCTTTAGGAGACCCAAACCAAACCAAACAACAACACTCACGCTTTGTCACCTTGGACTCTGTCAAAAAATAAATTGTTTTAAAAAAATCAATTCGATCAAATTACGAACTTATTTTTTTCTTTTTAAAAAATTTAATAAAAAAAATTGCCACGTCAAGAAAAAAGAAACAGAGAAGATAATAAAGGAGAAACGAAAGCGGAAGTGATTTAAGGATGGTGGTAGTTATCGCCCGCCACTCCAAATCATTGGAGATTGTAATAAAACATATTGAAAAACAATCTCAAAATTTCTATTTGGGCAAAATATATTGTCGAAAAGTATATGAAAAATCAATGTGTAGAAGTTGACTTTTCAAAATCTTCGCCTGGTAATTAAATAATTATCTTTTACCAACATTACTTTTTTTATTTACTAATAAATTGACAATTGAAAATCAAAAAAAAAAAAAAAGTTTAATTACAACAAAAATAGTTCATAAAGAAAAGAAAAATGATTTAAAAAAGATCAAAAATTAAAGGTTTTATTTGAAAAGTATTATTTGATTTAATTAATTTACACATTTAACAACTATGATTAAAACATCATCTTTATATTTACTTCCCAGGTTTAAATATGAATCCGAAGATGTCAACATAGGTAAATTTGTTCCTCTTCTTCTTGTTGGTTTAATAGGTTATATTGATCTTTTAATGAATTTAAAATTTTGGCCGCCAAATGTCAATAAATTAACTTATCGGTCCATTTTACTTAATTTGGTAAGATCACATTGCTATAATCGGGTGTAATTTGGAGGCACTTACCCTAAAATTAGGTCCTAATCATAATACTTGGGGGACCTTAAATATTAGAAAATCTTAAACGTTCGATGCATTTATTTTTTTTCATCAAATTAAAATTTAACCACAAAGATTTTCACCAATGGAGGTCAAGGTTAGGTTTGAAACTCTTTTTATACTAAAAAACACAAAAGAAAAAATATGAAATCATCAATAATAAATATATTTTGTGAAAATAAAGGATACAAACTTCATGAATAACTCAATTACAAAAACATGGACTCAACATCTTTCTTCTTCTTCATCGATAGTAGAATCTAATTCAAGACAAGATGCATCTGTAGAAACCGCAACCACATCACCCGTCTCTTTGCAATCTAATGCTTTAAACTCACAAAACAAACAAGGAGAACACGCTGATGAGAATGGAATTAAAAGAAAAAAATCAAAGTATACAAAAGAATCAAAGAAAAAAGTTAAATGTGTGAATAATAATTTTTATTTAAATACAATTAACTAAATTATAAAGTTAAATGTTTATTATTATTTGTTATTTTCTTCTAATAAAACTTTACATAGTAGTTACAGAGTTTAAGACAAGTTTACCTAATGCACGATTATCTGATTTGGGTGGAATTGATTCTTGTATCGAAGAAGTATTGGAGCTGATTGCCATGCCATTAGCTCATCCTGAAATATATTTGCATACCGGTGTTCAGCCACCAAGGTTGATATTATTATTATTATTATTTTAATTCAAGATATTTATAATTGATTGGACTGGATTAGATTAGATCAGAGTAATTAGATGAATTTTGCACAAGGGTAGAGTAATGTTAGATAAAGAGAAATATAAAAGATAACATCATTTTAAAATAATAAATAAATAAGAGATTGCATCATACTTTTCTTTTTCCATAAACATCAATCGCTGGTAATATTAAAAAATGAATGTTGTTTTCATTGTCACTGTCACATTTGTTAGGTTTTGATGATTCACATATTGCTTTAACACTGAAAGTTTCCATATTTAAAAGGTTTATTAAGCTATGTTTCAAAAAGCGTGACTAATATTTGGGTAGAGAAAACAAAAAGTTTCCTAATGTGCTAAAGTCAAATTACTAATATAAATGATATTGTTATATAATTATGACAATAATTTGGTACTTTATTATTTATTTTAATTACCTTGATCTTAATTTCATAAAAAGTATTTTGACTTACATATCGGCCATTTAACAAATTAAATTTGTAATTTTCATCATCGATTAAAGAAGTAGTCAGCCTAGACTCTTTTCTTGCACCTCTAAAAAAATTTGTTCTATTTATTTTATTCAAAAGAATTTATAATTAATCAATTATCAATAATTCCTTCCTCCACCTTTTCAATTTATTTAAATAATGATGATGATAATTAATAATTACTTACTTGATCATAAGGTCACCGTCAACAATATCATATGAAATCAACAAATGAGTAATATCAAAGATTTTAAAACTGCTGCTTTCCTTTACGACAATCATCAATTTACTAACGAATTTTTTTTTTTGAAAGTTTGCCGTGTTTCTAAATTCTACAATCTACATGTCTTCATCTTTAAGCAAATTTTGAAATATTCAATGTACTCTTGCTAACTCTACTTTTGCTTTGCTTTTGCTCTTTTGCTCTTTTGCTCTGCTAGCTATTGCTGATCACTCTCCAAAAAATTTTTCTTCCTTTTATATAGTTGAAACTCTGATTGCCTAAATGTAAAAATTTTATATAAAAAAAAAATATGTTGTCAATATAATCATGATAACGAAAATTATTCGATCTTTAATTTATTTTGTCATAAATATGTGTCGCAAATACAATCTTTCATTTGGTGAGCAATATCATGTGATATGTCATTTTGTAAAAAAATAGTTTTTGGTGAAATAACTCATATTTAAAAAATTTAGAAAATGTATTAATAATAAATATTTCAACATAAACATAAAAAAAGATTACATTGTTGTCTTTAGATGATGTGGTGCATCATACTCTATATAAGTTATTATTTTAATTTTTATCAATTACTTGAAAAACTTCTAATTCATCAAATTTACTACCATTCACTATATTGATGCTATCATAAGTGCCTTGTCCATTATGAATATTACCATTCACTTCAAAAAAAAATTGCCACTCATTCCAACTACTACCAAAAATAGGTAAATGAGAAGAATTACAACCAATTGCACAATCATATTTATTATTAATAACATAACTATGCAGTGCAGTATTAGTATCATTCCTATTTCTTATATTAAAAATAAAACTTTCAGTTGTCAGTTTAAATAAAGCGGCTCCACTCCAATCAAGTGGGTTATAGCCACCAATTATTTGTTCCGAATCTTGTATTTTAGCAACTACAAGAGTTTTGTTAAAAGTGTCACATTTTTGATGAAATGAAGTCGCATCTAGGCCATCTCTACTACTACGATATATAAGCTTAAATTCATATTTAATATCACTGAATGAATGATATGGTGGACTTTTTTTATCAATCCAACTTGCAAAAAGCAATATAAGCCTTTTATTAATTCGACTAATTGTTATTGAATCAATTTTTAAAGCTCTTGGTGGTGATAAACATAAAGCTGCTCGATCATCAGGAAATAAATAATATTCTAAAAGTTTATTCCATAAATCCACAGGAATAAGTTTCTGATATGGTTTAATTTTATCACGAAAGTCCTTGTTAGAAATATCTTGGAATCTAATTGATAAGATTAATTCTTTTAATGTGTTTCCTAAATCAGTATAATTTTGGATTGACCAATTTTCAATATTGTTATTGCTGATTTCTGGATGTCTTGCTAATCCCCATTTAAGAATTCTTTGCCAAATTTCTATTTCATCAACATATAAATCATCTTTTCCAAGAACTGCCAATAAAATTGGTTCTTCAAATGAATCAAATTCTTTTGAATTAAAAAATTTTCCACTATCAATGCAAATTTTTTCTACACAGATATCTCTTAATTTATTAAATTTTTCTTTATTGGTGCAGATAAATCGCAGAATTTTAATTGTGTTATCATTTATATAGTCTTCATGATTTTCAATAAAATATTTCATTATATAATTAACAAGTGACTCAAGATCAAATTCATCTGCTGAAATTAACAAGTTCAATAAATCAACACAAGTATAATTGTTTAATTCTACTTTACACGTGTATATATACCTTTTAAAAACCAACAAATAAAAATTATTATACTGCACTAATAAAGTGAATAAATAATGTTTTTATTAATTTATTTATTAAATAAACTCACTTGAGAATATCTTTAAAAATAGGTTCGCTAATATTAGATTTATTAATAACATAATAGCCACTTTGATCTTCTTTGGTTGTACTTGACAAAACATTTTTAAAAAAGCCACTTTTATCTTCTTTGGTTGTATTTGACAAAACTTTTTTAAAAAATGGAGACTGGACACATAGGATTAATGAATGTGCATGAAATTCAGTGACAAGTTTTTCTTCATTATGAATAAAAATTTTGACATCATAGTTATTATTATCTGGTTCTAATAATTTTTCAAACCTTTCCAAATGTTCTATTAATGATGTTATATCCATTATGTAAACGTTCAAATGTTTAAACGGTCTATTTAAACGAACTAAGTAATTTAATTGTTGTAAAATTACGTTATCTTTATTAACTTAATACTATGTGATCGACATAGCACGTTTTCCGTACAACAGACTTTGAAGGAAGAATTGAATACAAGATTATAAATAAACAATTTTTATGCTTCTAAATAAATAGAATCTTGTGCTTTTGCTCGTTTAAATTCAATTTTTTACTTGTCAATAGCTTGTTTCGTTATAGCGCAATAACTTCCCAAAGAGACCGATACTTTTTGACTTTAAAGGCCTAATTATTTATGAAAAACGATTCTATTAAGATCATTTTAGCATCATAAGATAGAGTACATTGAGAGCTCTCAGAAAATATATGGTTCGTTTGGTTTTCTTGGAGGTGGAAGAAATTAAAGGCAAAAAACAAATTTATAAGTTATTTATGACTATTTTATATTAGTATTAAATTTTTTTTTAATTAGATTATTACAGTAATAAGACAGAACAATTTAATAGTCTCAGACCCCCTTTTTGCTGGTGGACATCCCATATGTCAGTGCCCTAATTGTAATTACATATCGGTGCAGATCATCTATAATCATTAATTGCTTATAGTAACAATTGGTCAACTTTAAAATACTAAACAAAAAAAAATTATATCATTTTAAAAAACTTAACCGATAAGTTTTATTGTTCATGACTCAAGCCTCAAAACTTATCGGCTGGTTTTTTCTTAAACTGAAAATTGGCAGAGCCTTAGCATTTTGAAAATTCCGAATTTTGTTATACATTTAAGAAATTGAGACTAGGTAAATTTCGCGTAACAACTTTTTTTCATAGAATATTTTCTACAACATAGATTCGATTTATTTGATTTATTTATTTCCTTTTTTTTATTAATAAATAAAAGTTCTTTACAACAAAAAAGTTTAACGAACTAATTTTTTTTTAGATTAATAGACTCTCCTTTTAAAGCTGAATTGAATGGCGGTGGTTTTTTTAAAATCCAATGTGTGGATCACATAATATTTCAAAAATTTTAACTTTTGAGTATAGATAATCCGCACTGTAACAACAATGTTTCTGGCCAAATCCGACTCAAAGTTCATTTAGATTCTTTAATTTCTATTTTAAAAAATTTTGATATTACTCATTTGTTGATTTCATATGATATTGTTGACGGTGACCTTATGATCAAGTAAGTAATTATTAATTATCATCATCATTATTTAAATAAATTGAAAAGGTGGAGGAAGGAATTATTGATAATTGATTAATTATAAATTCTTTTGAATAAAATAAATAGAACAAATTTTTTTAGAGGTGCAAGAAAAGAGTCTAGGCTGACTACTTCTTTAATCGATGATGAAAATTACAAATTTAATTTGTTAAATGGCCGATATGTAAGTCAAAATACTTTTTATGAAATTAAGATCAAGGTAATTAAAATAAATAATAAAGTACCAAATTATTGTCATAATTATATAACAATATCATTTATATTAGTAATTTGACTTTAGCACATTAGGAAACTTTTTGTTTTCTCTACCCAAATATTAGTCACGCTTTTTGAAACATAGCTTAATAAACCTTTTAAATATGGAAACTTTCAGTGTTAAAGCAATATGTGAATCATCAAAACCTAACAAATGTGACAGTGACAATGAAAACAACATTCATTTTTTAATATTACCAGCGATTGATGTTTATGGAAAAAGAAAAGTATGATGCAATCTCTTATTTATTTATTATTTTAAAATGATGTTATCTTTTATATTTCTCTTTATCTAACATTACTCTACCCTTGTGCAAAATTCCATTTTTAGGTCCTCTAAATCATCTAGAAACAAACACCATTTAGGTAATTTATATATATACTTCATAATCTTTTTAAATTTTATAATGATAATAAAGATTATTATTAATATTAATAGTTATAAAAATCTGAGTTCAAACAAACAAAACAAATTTTACCAACGATTTTAAAAGAAATAGATTCTAAATAATTATTAAAGAAGATGGAATGATGTTAATCAGGGTTAGTCAAAAATTTATTCCATTTAAAATAAATAGATATAATAATAATAGTAAATATTAAAAAAAATATCAATTTTTTTAATTAGATTCCTATAAATAAAAATTTAAATATTGAATACATAGTAACTATATTATAATTTATTTATTTTTTATCTCTAAAACAAACCATAATATTTATATATTTATATATTTATTAACGAATTTTTATTTCCTGAAATAGTATTCTCTTTTAAGTATTTAATTCGTGATCCACCAGTTAAGATTAACCAGCGGCAATTTTTTTAATGGTAACTTACATACTTTATGACTTATTATAGAATTCTGAGGGATAATAATAACAACAATAATAAATTTATTTCTTTAGTACCGGAAAATTTTGTTCAAGATAATCATCAAAGTTAAACAATTATAAAGATATATATTATTAACTGTATACAACATTAAAAACAAAAAAAAAATTTTTTTATTGGAAAAAAATTATATTTATTTATTTATTTATAAAAAAACTAACTGATGGTGATAATGATAATGATAATAAAAAATAATGATGGTATATAATAATAATAATAAATCTAAATTACAGATTAATGTACTTATTCTCTAAATTATCAATCAACGTACTTATACTTTCTTTAATAGATTAACATGCTTATTCTTTCACTAAATAGAATTCCAGCTTTGATTATTAGATCCAAGGTATGATAACCAATATTTAAGGTATAGTAATAAATATTTAACCAAATTCCTCTTTCTTTTCTAAATTCCCATTTCTTCTCCTCCTTGTCACTTTCACTTTCACTTTCACTTTCATTTTCATTTTCATTTTTTATATCATTATTTTCATGCTCAATTTCATAAGGTAATAATGGAACATTAAAAAGTTTTTGTAGTTTTGGTAATAATAAAAAATAAATTAGAAACCAATATGATATTCCAAATATCAATCCAGTAGAACTTTCTTTAATATTGTGGAAATATGTTACTGTGAAAAATAACATATTGATCCACAAAATCAACAAACCAAAAAATATTTTTTTAAAAAATTTAAACTCATTCAATTCAAGTATTTTTTTCTTGTTGAATGATCCACATATTTCCTCTAATAGAAAAAGTGAAGAATGCACTAATAAGAAACAATGTCCGCTGGCATCATGTCCATTAATCCACTCTCCCTTCAACTGTTTACATTGATATGAACTATTAATATCATTTGTTTTTCCATAATTTGAAAAGTTTTCTGTGTCCTCATTAAATCTACAATTGCCTCCACTCATTGTAAATATCATATCAAATACACTTGGTCCAAATAAAGTTTTTTGCGTTATTATATACCAATAACCTGTTGATGCAATGTAACGAAGTATAGAAAAACCTAGTTTCTCTCCTTGTCTCTCGTTTTCATTCATTGCTAAATAAGCACCATATACTACTGTAGTCCAAAACCATCCGTTCTTTGCAAATATTCTATTAAATACATTGTTCTTTGATTGATAATATGTCTCTTCTAATCTTGATACTAGTCCAACAAATACTACTAATATATAAAACAGTACAATAAAACCTTGTAATTTCGATGTTTTGGAATTAAAGGTTTTTTTTAACGAAGCTTTAAATTTTAATACGCTCTTACGATTTATATATTGATCCATTTATAATACAATTTTTGTATATATATATGACAATAAAAGAATGTGAAAATTTTTTATAAATTATAATCTTCCTCCACATGATAAATGAATATGTTGAATGGATCATGTTGATCATTTTTTTTTTTGTGTTCGACATCCGACTCATTCGGAGTCTTGGAAACAATTATTATTTATTATATGAATAATTGGTAGGAATAGCTCAAGATTAAGAGGTTTATGTATTTTATTATTTTATTTACAAATAAATGTTTTATTAAAAAAGGATTTCAAGTACTTTTTACAACATCTATTTGATCTAAAGAATATCTTTTCATAATAGTTCTTTCATCACTTTAATTTCTATTATATTCCATCCTTAGCGAGTGACAAAATGTAATTATTATTTGATCTATTCGGTCGTTATTACAAAAACTTCATCAATTAACTAATAACTTTTCCAAATATAGCTATCACCATCCCAAATAACAAGAACTTGATGATATTTATCTATTTTATTCCATTTGTAAATCTGAGATGTTTAACTTTTATGTTTAATTTGTTTTCCTGCACTTAGAATGACCAATGGATATTGTTCTTCACAATTTGTGTATAATGTTTTCAAGAGACTAGGCGTGCACAATCTCATGTAACTATTAATGGAAAGATACTTGATGTAAAAGTAGATGGTGCTATTGAGTGTATCAACCTATCATTGTTGCATCCAGGTTGCTTCAGCTTCTCATTCTATTTTACCGCACTTCCCAAAACTTACCTACCTACACCGATGATTAACACTAATCAATTTATACCAGACATTCAAAACACTTCAACGCACTTTTAATATCAAAAAGATCTGATGGGTGTCTCACCTGGTCAGAGATATTTAACAAAATAACTGGCCATTCACTATATGATGTTCCACTTGTTAATACATGAGATTATCTATATATCTTATTTACATAATGTATATATATAAAACCCTTTTATCAAAAATGAAATGTAGATCTTTTACAAAATTCTTGAAAATTAAAATTTTATTTAATATATTATATAATATTACTATGATAAACTCTATCCTGTTATCAATCTCAGATCAAGCCAACCTTTTATGGTTCTTCAACATTTGTATTAGTATTATTATTGACTACTTCTGAAACTTCTTGACTAATAAAATTGTCATTAACAAGTTCTCGTAAACGTGAAATCAATGAATCAGCGATTTGAGATGTTAGATGAGATGATAATGATTCCATCATCTTATCAAGTCTCAAAAAATTGTCATTATTTCGGTACTTTTGTGCCATATCAACTCGTCTTAATTGTTATTATCATTATTAATATCTCAACAATCAAATCAATTAATTAATCAATAGTGAAGATTATTTGTACAACTTACTGATCATAGTTATGATATTCCCTAATCAATTCGGATAATTGAGAAAACATATCTTCAGGAAAAGATTCAGATCGTGATACTAAATGTTCGCACTCATAAGGTGTTCCTAAATAACATCAACATAATAATAATTATTAATTCATAATATCTGTATATACACGCATATCATTAACTTACTATATTCGCCTGAAACATCATATTTGGTACCGCTCATCCAAAATTTAAATTTTGAAATATTAGAAACATTCTCTGCATCGTATGGGGTTACAATCACTCCGATAAATGGTTCCAAACCATCATCACGTTTCCACATTTCCTAAATAAGAGAAAATCAAAAACATCAAATATGTATGATTTATTCAAAAATAAAATAAAGTTTTAAAATATTATTAACATACCTGATACTGGGATTGATTTTCAATGTCACGAATTGAAGGCTGAGGTTCAAAAGTTGGATGAGAGTGATACCAACCAACAAATTCCAAGCACTTTTCAGAAAAAACCTCTCTTGCAGCAACCTCAGACTCAGGATCCATTTCACACTAAAGTTAGATAAAATTTGGAAAATGTATATATGTAATTGTTGTAGATTCCTAATAATATTATTTATTATTATCTGAATTCTAATAAATTTTTTATACCTGAAAACCAGTACTTAAACTTTTACAAGGATATACATAAGTAATTTCCATTAGTTGACTATCAGAATGGAAATGACCTCCAAGCAAACCAATGATTTCAGTATGGGCCAAATGAGCATGAAAGTCCATCATGAGCTTATAAATATATATAATATTAATATTTTCCGTAATATAAATTTTTTTTAAAAAACCCCAATTTATAAATATAATTACCATAACATTAGTAGAAACAGACAATTTAAATGGTGCAGGATATCTTGATGTATAATGCATGGGTTTTACCAGACGAAATGGATCATAATCATAGGCTAAATCGTCGTAAAGTTTTTAGTTAGGGCTAAATAGATTTAAACCAAATCTCCATACAATATTAAAAAAGGATATTTCATTATAATTAATTTTCCCTTCTTTTTTAGCAGTACGAATTCTTTTGCTTCTACGTGTCAAATCATCACCTGAATTTGTTTTAAACATTTAGGAAAGCTTTAAGCAAAATTAAAATCCAATTTATAATATTAAAACAAAAATCTGTAACCTTTAGTTCCACCAGTAAGATTGTTCTCGTAATCATCGTCGTCATCACTATCATCATCACCGTAAGTATCAACATCGATATCATTTTTTAACCTTATATTGATTAATAATATTAGCATGATTTTTATTATCATAATAGAGACAACATATATGTGTGTGTGTGTGTTAAAAGATATTATAAATAAACCATATAAATTACCAATTTTTATTCTTACGAGCTCTAAATTATCAAAAGTTGAAAATAAATAGTGGTTTTTAAACAAAATCGTATTTGAAAATTTAATAGCAATTTCAAAAATCAAAATTTATCAAACCCTGGATAATTCCATTCATCATCTTCAACTCTAGTCTTAGTTTTACGTTTACTACTTCCGTTATCACCACCACCTCCACCGCCACCACCATTGCCGCTACTACTTCCATCAGTACTGTTAGCGGATCCATCAGATAATTTTCTTTTGGAGGATCTTTTGACAGCCCTAATTTTAGTAGCAAAACCAACATTAATTGCACCAATCGATTCAAGGTATGCATGAACACGTCCGATAGCATTAACATCACCACAATCCTTTGATTAAAAGATAGAAAACATGTGTATATATATTCTTTTGAGTGATTTATATATATATATATATAATATGCAAATCAAAAAAACCTTAAGTCCAGGCCTAACAATAGTTTTTGATATGTATTTTGGTTTATTGTTTAACCAAGTATTTAAAATAAAATTTCTAATTTTCATATAACGTTCAGGAGTTTTAGCACGTTTTCCAAGAAAAAATTCAGAATTTTTTTTCTTTTCATCTTCGGATATCACTGACTGATCAAGAGGCTATAAAATATGGGTAAAAAAATTTTTTAAAAAATCAATTTATTTTTTCTTCTTATTAAATATGTAAACATATAAACAGATATAAAATAGGTAAAATTTATCAAGAAAAGAAATACATACTTTCTCAACAGGTAACTTAGATTCTTCACGGTTCGAGTCATTAAAGTGATCAGAAGGAGTTGAAACTTGAATGGTTTCTGCACTAGAACTATTATCAAGATCTATATTTTTGTCACAGTTCAATTGATACGCATCATCAGCATTTGATATTTCTTTTTTTATCTCAAAAGATTCAATTGGCATAATTGCAAGTAAACAATAATAAAATGGAAAAATCCAAATATTAATTGATAGATTTTTTGTGAGATGATTTTTTAATAATTAAAAAAATTAATTTTAATAATAAAAGAAAATCAATTTTTTTATCCATTATTTACATAAAACAAAACATCATGGTTTTTCATATGATTTGATATTAATGCTAAATCTTTAAAAATAGTGAATTTCGATGTGCACAAAAAAATTTATAGTAGTAGATAATTCAACGCGTACAACTTTACCGTTCTTTTTTACGCGTAATAGAAATTGACCTGCTGACCATTTAAGACCACATCGTAATCTAAGACTTTCAAAAAAATAGATTTTAAAGATTCAGTTGTTTACAATAAATTGGTTACCGAGGACTAGATGCATTAAAACGTTTAATGGAAAACGAGTTTAAAGAAATAATATACTACAGGAATTTAAAAAAATGTTGAATGTGCATATGCAGTGAGAATGTAATGGATCAAGAATATGTATTGATTGGATAGATCAATAATACATTTTAAAAAATATTTCATTTTAAATTAGAAAGCATGGACTTTCATATTCCTACTTTTAGAAATATTAGGTCCAACCAACCATTTAAGAGTTGATCTAATCATATTATATATGAGAGAGAGGGTATATGTGTGATACAGTCTTACTGGGATCATCATCTGCTAAAAAGTCCTGGCCCTGTTCCATTATTTCACGCATATGACATAAGGCTTCAAACGAATCAAATCGAGTTGGATTTTAAAGCGACTCGATTCGATCTAAATCGGATTTTTATTATATTTTAAAATTTTAAAAATAATGACCAGAGAAAGTAACGCACAGTCAAATTTTATTTCAACAAATCTGAATAGATGCAGAATGAACATATGGAAAAAACATATTTTGATACGGAATGCATTATAATTAGAAAAATTCACCTAAAAATACAAAACTGCACGGAAACCTGCACGGGAACATTCTTTCATTTGGTTTCTGTACATTAAAAATGCATTTTAATGCGGAAGTCACCTACACCGTGCCGTTTTCGCGTGTTTAGATATGGGAAAGTTCACTTTTCTGTGTTAGTAGGTATACTCCGTATTAGTATGTATTCAATAATAGTACCTATTCCACATATATTTCTTTATAAGGTAGTACGCATCAGGAACTCGCGTTTCAACGAGCTTTATATGTGAAGCAAAAATTCAATGCGAATTAATTATAATTCGTTGAAACAAGATTCGCTGGAACAAATGATTTTTCATTGAATTATTTTATTTATATGCATTAGATAGTATTAGTGTATATCGATCCGAATCAAATCAAATCATGTTTCATAGATGGTGTATATTCACTGGTAGAAAAAATGTAATTCACAAAGATTCCACATAGTGAAATCATTGAGCATAACAACCGTTTTTACAACTGTTTTACAAATACTAGTGAAATATTACAGAAGCTATTGTAAAAATATTGTAAAAACGGTTGTTATGCTCAATGATTTCACTATGTGGAATCTTTGTGAATTACATTTTTTTCTACCAGTGATTGATTCGAATCGGAATCGAAACAAACACGAGTGAATTCGATTTAGAATCGGTTCGAATTTCATTGATTCGTTCAGAGTCTTACATATGACTGAAGACCGAGTGGTTATTTCTGGCTGCATTGACACTTCTATTTCATAATTTTGCTGCACAGCTATGCTTGGTTGTGAACTCGCCTTTCGCCTGCATCTTAACACACCATTCTATTTTCTTTGAATAATCATTTTTTGTGTTTCATATAAAGAAGAATGAAATGCTCTAATCCTTGCTCTTCTTCTGTTAAAGGCCTTTGCGGGATATATACATTTGGGTCTAATTGAAATAATTCATCATAAAGAGCTCTGGTTTCGGCCAAATTTTTTTGGTTGGTCACAATCTGTATCACTTAGATCCTTAATTTTTTTGTAATCTCGATCCCCATTGTTTAACAGTCTCATCTGGCCTTCTATCATTGGGATTTTTTATCTCTTGAAATTGCATACTCAGAACGGACAAAGTATCTGAACTAGGAATTGGTTTAAGATTTTGATTTGGCTTAGACTCAGAATTAGGAATTATTTCAGGCTCTGATAAGGAGTGACGCTTACACAGGTGCAGGATTTTGAGGCTTGCATGGATTCTTTCTTTTGAGATTTTTTGTAGAGTTGCACATGTATAACCACAGCATTAGGTCTAACCGATTTGTTTTAAATAATTTTTTCTATATTCAAAAATGCAGGTGATTATTCTTGCCCTATTACTATATCCATAATTTCGGTTATATATAAATTCGAAATTAAACCTAAAAGTCGAATCATTTTGACCTGAGAGGTCAAAAGTCGAATTGAAAATCGAAATAGTCGAAATTACGTCCTGAACATACAGAAAATTTAATCAAAAGCTTCAAATTGTCATAACTCGGCCAATATCTGGTTGTTTTGGACAAAATAACTACTATTCGAATTCTCTCAATGGCGTGAGTCTGATGAGATGTAATTCATGAAATTTGAATTACTGATCAATTTGTGGTCTTTCACCATATTTAAATTTTTTTTATTGCTGCCGATCACCACTAAAAATAGATATTTTTTTGTGATTGGTAATAAATAAAGGCATTGGTGTGAAAACTCTTGCTATAATTACAATGTAGTAAAGCATGCCTATGGTTTAAGACAGCATAACCAGCCCCTAAATAATTTTAATCAAACAAATAATAAATATTATGTATTAATACTCAGCTGCTTGCTTTTTATGATGCTGACTAAATCTAGATATCCAATTTTTAATTTGTTGAGGTGAAGGGATATTGTCAAGTTCAATTTCATTATTTTTATTTAACATACCTTCAGCTGATAATTTTCCTTCTTATTGAGATTATTGAAATATTTTGGTTTGCCATTTATTGATAAGATGGGCAATTATTTGAATCCTCCTTATGAGACTATTCTATCTAATGAGCCATGTTTCATCACCAGTTCTCAAGATAATTAATTTTGAAATTATAATAAATCATGTGATATGACATAATTTCAACCATTTCAACCCTGAAATTAATACTAAATCGTCTTAATCTTGACTTCATATATAATTCTGGAGCCATCTGTGTAAATGCTTGCATGCATCCTGAAGAGTGTCAACTTTACTATAAGGTTAAAAAACACCCCTCATGCTATGAGTGTGGGATGTCCATTGCATACCAGAGGGTTTTATATCTCTGAATTCTATCAAAGATTCATGAAAAGCTCTAAAGTATGGCTCTGAATAGAATGAACTTTATATATCAGGATATTGGTCTAAGCTGTTTTTATCAAAGGACAATTTTTTTGAAAATAGGCTAAAAATGCTTTAGCTTTATTTCATATCCACTTTTTGTTAGGCTTTTTGGACCATGAGCTCTAGGAGTCTGAAATTTTCCATATATTGGGAATTTAATCTGAGCAGTTTTATCCAAGGACAGTTTTTATCAGGAAAAGCCAAAAATGCTTTATTTTCTTAGCAATTTTTTGGGCATGAGGACCTATGAGTATTGAAATCTTTTTGGTTATATTTTCTTGCCTTATGAGACCAATACTCTATAAAGATTTGACATACATGTGGCATTATGAAAGTTTTCTGTTTTAATCCCTTGATATCCTAAAATTTTGTTGGATTTTCTTACCTTGAGGTGTTATTATGAAAATTTTTGTTAGATCTTTTGGTTAGAATTTTAGATTGCATAACTTTTTAGGCTTTAGAGCTAATAACAATGGCTTGAATGTGATTAGAGATATATAGCTGATTTTGATGCATGTTCACAATTTGGTTAGATTTTGTGTTAAAATTCTAACTCAAATGATGAGTTAAACATCATTTGAGTGATGGGTAAGCCATGAACTGCACCTACTTAGTAAAATCATTTAGGTTATTAAGACTCTAGAGAGCACAGACACACAAGTATCACCCTGTTGGTTTTGTCCCAAATCCCCCAAAGTGACAGTGAATATTTTACTGTGAAAATGATTAATATCAGATGTATTCACGGGTCTCAGATAAATAGATGGTAGTCAAAAAATAAATGTAATTTATTTGAAAAGCTTTAGATTCATTGTAATATATTTCAATATCACCCCTGTTAAAGAAAATTATACACTGTTTAAAGGTGTCAGCAGCAGCATTAATTGAGTTTTATATGTTGATGTGCCAATTTCTTCTTCTGTTAACATTTCATTATCTTCCACTTCATTATCAATCTAAATATATTCTTCTGCTGATAATGGCAAAGAAAAAGGTAATTATTGATTTCATTATTTTGATGATTTGGTTTCATTGTTGGGTAATTCCCCATTTGATAAAGGAATAATTTCCCAGCAATTAAAATGATTCATTATTTGTTGCTCAATTGTCATGTGAATTTGTTGAAATGCAATTGCAGTCAACCATTCTAAGTGCACACTCATTCATTCCCAAGCTTGAGGATTAGAGGTAAATGCACATCCCTTCCCCTGCACTGCATGGTCTTTTTCCCTCTCTAAATGCATATAGTGGCTTTCACAGATCATTTTCCAATAAAAATTGTGCAACTTATGTTATAAATCAATTTTTCCTTGTAATGTAACAAAAAAATAAAGAATTGATTTTTATACTTAGTAATGATGATAAAGAATATAAAGAATAAAATTTATTATTAGTAAGGGATATAAATATACATACAGCCCAAATTGGTTTGGTGATTTTGATGGCCAAAATGATTCCAATTTTGATGGTAGAAAGTAGAAATTAATTATGGCACTCACTATTAAAAACATAAGTGTAACACCCCTTTATAACAGTGTCAAAATTCTTTGGGCTGCATGTATAGATATAAAGAATTAATTTATTATTAGTAAGAGATGATAAAGAATTAATTTGTAACAAGAAAGTAAAAAATTGTTCACTTTATTAAGTGACAGGAGAATAAAGAACTCTTTCTTTTAATAAATACAAAGTTTATTAGAACAA